ACAAAATAAATATATTCCTTTAAAAAAACACCTCTGGAAGATGCCTAGGAACACACTGGTGAGGTTTTCAAGAAATGACATAAAGTATTCAAACAAGTTATGTAAGGTGGGATGTTTATAGTATAGATAAAGTATGAATGCTTCTAACATGTTCATGCTATTGGCTAGATAATATTTCAACAACATAGGATGTGAAGAACTACATTTTTGTAATTCATAAACTAAAGATACATGAGAGAAAAAATATTATCAACAGTCAATAATTTCTTTAATAAAAATTGTTGTGGTAACACAAAGAAGTATTGCCATCAATGGAATTAGGACTTTGACTTCAGTCAAAATAGAAATTTGAAAAGAGGTCTCATCTGTGGACTGCTGCTGTGCTTCCTAAAAGTGTCGGGGAGTCGTCTTCCTTTTCTGGATTATCTCCTCTATAAACACTGTCTCTGAACAACAGGATTTAGATGAGTAAAAGAGGACATCTAAAGAGTGTCAGGTGAAGACTGAGTGGCACTAACACTGACTTTGCCACTGAATTTTACCTAATCTGGGAAAAAGGAAGAGTAATCAGGAAAAAAAAATTCCCTATAGTACCTCTGTAATCCAAGATAAAATATTTTTTTCATATTTGTTCTAAGGGTCTGATGTTCTAGAATTGCTGTCTCCTTATTTGGTGAAACTAATGTCTCTCATTCTTAATATTAAGAAACATGCTCACTGCTGTACTTACCAGACCCTTTGAATTCTTGCAATAAGCATTTTCACTCCCAAATAAACAACACTTAATTTAAAACAAGCTGAAATTTGTTGTAAGAATTTTTTTCTTTGAACTTTTCCCTTTGAGGAACAGCAAGTTATAATAAATGAATGAAAAATAATTATCTCAGATTTTTCATTAAAAGCATACTGATTTTCCAGGTTGTTTCATTTGAAGTTGCCTGGAGGTTTAGACATTGAGCTAGAGTAAAATTCTGAGGTATCTTTTTGAATAATACTAAGACTTATTTGTGAGGGAAAGAACTAGTAACTCGATTCCTTTTTTTTTTTTTTTTTTGTAACTGCTAATTGATTTTTGATACCTAGAGCTCATTTCTCATGGAAACCATATGAATGATGGTTGATCTAGCTGCCTATCGGAACCTAACAAATAGATTCCCCCAGGTACAGTTAGTGTGCTTTTGAGGTCATCCTTTCCTTTCCCAGTTCCTTTTCCTCTCTAAAAACATTTCAGCTATGTTCAGAGAGTAATATAGGATTGATGGACAATGCATCTATATCTACCTACCACTTTTATTTTAGATACCAGTAGGGAGTCCTTTTAATGTTCATGCATGTCCTGCAGTGAGAGAAGTTGGTGGATCCTGGAAAATATCTCTTTTTATACGCAGCATAGGAATGTAATTCTTAGATAGGAATGCTTCTAAATCACTTCCAGGAATCTGAGGGACTACTGAATATCTATCATCTTCAACAGTAACACATGATAATTACCACCTTTAGCAGTAAAAGTGGCAGCAAATTATCACCTCTATCATCTACATGAGAACTCTGTAGTTCTATTGACAAGAATTTTCAGGGAGACAAATTTTAGCTCCAAACCATTTTTTATCTTTCCACCTACAATGAAATTAATTGTGGCTCATGCCATAATTTTATCTTTAAACCTTTATCTATTTACTTCTTTTCTTATTATAGTTATATAAATATATACATATATATATATATGTGTGTGTATATATATATATATATATGTATATGTATGTATGTATGTATATATATACATATATATCTTGCATGGTTAATTGCAACTAGAGAAAATATCTAAAATTATTGACTTACTAAGCAATTATTTACTAAAAGTTTATTAATGTCATGTACTTTTCCAGATATTTGAGATACATAATAAATAAACAAATTCTCTACCACTGTAAATCTTGTGTTTTGGTGAACAAAATAGTAAATTAAAAAATAAATAAAAATTAAGCAAATTATACATTTTATAAGAAGGGGATAGATACATGCTTCAGAAAAAGAAGGGAGTCAGAGGATTAGGAGGAGGGGTGTCAAATATAGCAACTGCAGTGAAACAGGGAAGTTAGAGCAGGCCTTGTTGACAAGGAAGCACTTGAGCAAATGTTAAATGTATATATTTTTCACCAATATTATTGTTATTATAGACTTAAAATTTTTTTCGGAGCAATTCTTAATTTTTTAAAAAATTATTAGGAACTTCCTATTTACTACATAACAAATTTCATATGGATCAGTGTGTATACTATTGTCCTTGGAAAGAAATATAGCTTTAAAAAATGAAGTAAGATTACTGGTCATCTTAGGTTTCTTTAATTGGATTTGTTCAAGGATTTGGATTAAAGAAATATTCTTAATTTTGTACTAAACAAATAGGGATTCAATGAATAATTATAGTTTTCATTAGAAATCAAATTCATCTTTTTTGGAAGGAACATGGCAAAATGGTGCAAATTATTTAAAAAAAAATCAATCTAAGCTTTACATATTGTGTCTCATTGTTGAAATTTACTTTAAATCACTCACACCCAACAGGAAGTAATATTTAGATCTTCTTTGGCCTGCAGGTCAGGTTCAAAGTGAAACTACAGAGGTTTTATTTTGCTAACCTACCTACTCCAAGATGACAGAAGACCAAACATATAACTGTAAATGTCCCTTATATTTTATAGTTAGATAAATTGCAGTTTCTTCCATATAATCTCATAGTGTTCAATTACCTAGTAAACCTGGCAGAGAACAGGTGCAGTTCATTATAATCACAACATAACCATATATGTTTATTCCTAAAAGAGAGTTATAATTGCTAAGAAATCAAGACATATCTTAAAGTACTATATCTAAAATAGTCCTTTTGTGCAAGTTCTTAAAACCAGTTTTCTAAGAGCAAAAAAAAAAGTCCTTTAATTTTCCTTTTATATAAAGCTTAATTTTTAAATACTGGTACTAGAAAAACTGTAGGATCAGCATTTAATTTTGGTTTCCACTCCTTAACTTGGATATCAAATCTCCATTACCTCAAATGCACCCAAATTATCTTACCATTCTCCATGGAAAAGTTAGTCTCCATTAGAACAATGGAGGCATCTCCAACACCTGTCTCTTTCTCATCCCCAGTGCCTGATTAATCAAAAAGCTCAGGAGCTCATATCCCCTTGCCATGAACAGTGTGAGCAGAGTGAGATTCCCAAAGGCAGATGTTGTATGCTGCCCACCATCTCTGAGACTCCCTATTTCCCATAAAATGAACTGTAAGACTTCTTTGCATTGCATGAAGAGCAATCCTTAATCTAGCCAATCTATTTAACCACTGGACTCAACACAGCAGCTAATCACCTCTAGTAGCCCTGTAGAAGAGATGCCTGGAAAGCCAACTGTCTACGGAGTTGAGTCTTTGAATGAGGTGTACCCTCTGATTAGAATGTCAATTCCTTTCCTCATGTTTTGCATTCACTTAATAATTCATTGGTAAATACCTATTGAGTACCTTCTCTGTGTCAGGCAATAGAATATGCTAGGGTCTACCACAGTGCAAAGTAGCCATGTGCCTGTTCTCATGGGGTTTGCATTCTTCCTCTTGCACACACTATCATCTTCTCAGACCCCGGGTCTTCACAGTGTGCTCAGATTGAACTGATTCTCCTGCTTCTGACAGGCTTGGCCTCTGTGCAAGCCTCTGTTGTGGAGTTTATGTCAGACTTGTTTTGGAAGCCCATATTTGCCACTAGATCCTTAGCTGCTTACAATAGAGTGGGCCTTTTCATCAGCAAACCATCCTACAATTCTCTGGACAGAATTGAATATGAAATCACATTTAAAGGACTTTGACTCAAAGTTTAAGTGTCCTGCCAGAAAACTAGCTTTCTAAAGGTGACCACAAGAAAGTTACAGAGTGCATAAATATTCTTTCTAGTCAGGCTTGCCAATTTTCAGGATAGTTTTTGAAGTGCACTTCCATTGCGTTATTTTGAGACATACCTGGCTAACTATTGATTTTTTAATTATTTTTTAAAAAATTACTTCTATCCCTAATAATAACAATGTTTTAATAAGTATATTTGCAATTTGCCTCTTTAAAAATCCTTAATCTACATGTAACTAATGGCTTAAAACTAATCTTTGTGTGTATTTTCTCTTTATATAGAAATTACTCTTTCCTTGAAGATTTCTGTAAACTAGGAGAGTGGTTTTTTGTTTGTTTGTTTGTTTGTTTTTGTTTTTTCCCTATTGAGCTGCATGATAATACATGATAGCCTGAGGATAAAACATATGCCCCACGCTTCTATTCCTAATGCCATGGTTACCGTAGGACTATTTCTATGCAGGATTATTTTGCAGTGGTCTCAAGATATATTGCTCCCAGTGCAACCTAGTATCCTACTTTCATATTGATTTATTCTGGGAAAGAAATTCTATGGGATAGTTTACAAAGATTGCCTTCCTTCCTTTAATATCTAGAATGGGTATGACTCTTTCACCTTTATTTGACAGAAAAAACTCATGAGTTCTGTATTGAATTTTTTAGTGGCAATGGTGACACTAAAACTATGTGATCATTTATAATTATATGAACAGAAGTGCTCAAAATTCATAACCTGGAACAATGAGAATGCTCCTTATGAAAATCAGGTTATTGGGTCAACAATATTTTCATAAGAAAATGAAACAAATTCTGAGACTAGAATTTTATTTCTTTAAACTACATTAGCTAACTGCCATCATTTTGATTCTAGTAGACGTAGAAAATAATGATGCTAATTTTCAGAGCCTAAAGTGGTTCCTATCTGTATGATGATTTCAGTCTATCCTTGAAGCCTTACCAAACCATCAGATCACACTTTGATTTAGTCAGGCAAAGTATTTTTTGGGCAAAGAAGCAAGTACCATGGTTTAAAATACATATTTTATACAACTACAGCTCTAATGTAATTTCATATATAATTATTTAGAAAGAACCAAAATTCATATACCTTTTCCATATCCATCTTGCTTGAAACTTTCTCTGTATCATTACTGTATCTGAAAAATAAATTGGCCCTGTTTATAATCTTATTAAAATATAATTTGGAAAAATCCTAATCAAAATGTCAATGTTCTTTACTTTGGTTTTGTTTTCTCTTTCTTCTTACTTGTTTCTTGTCCAATAACAGTTTCTGCAAAACATTAAGTAAAAGGAAAACAATTTAAATGAGGGTTTATCATTGGGTTTCAAGTGTGTGTGTGTGTGTGTGTGTGTCTGCGCGTGTGCATGTGTGTGTATGAGAAAATGGAATTATTACTAGAAATTACAAATGAACAAATTCACCTTATATTGATATAGCATTCATCTTAAAAAAGTATTTTAGAAACACAAACATTCCCTACATTTTTCATTGCATGAAAGCAGTTCATCAGAGCCAGAAATAGCCACAGTGGTATTTGCTGTTGTATACAAATAGAATGTAGGAATTAAAGACTGCCAATATTGAGCAGTAAAGTAATTTTAGGAAAGGAAAAAAATTTAACCTGGAAGTCTCCTGAGAGAGACATAACAGAATGTTTCATTGGATTGACTAGAGAGTAGAAAGGGCATTCTTCCTCTTTTTGCCAGAAAGTAGTAATTCAACAAATAGCTTAAGGTAAAATATTTTCGTAATGTAATTTCTTTGTAGAGATATTAGGGACTATAGAAGGAGGAAGATTAAATTCACACTGTGCATATATGGATAGTTAATTCAAAATATAACCCATGATTCTTGAATGTATGCCTGTTGCCCAAATGACTAGACCCCACTGCAGCCATATCAACATGATACCATCAACTTCCATGACACGGTTGGCAGATTCATTGTAATAAGTCATCTGAGTGTCCTCGGCCTCTGCTTCAGCACTGATGATCTGCTGGGCCACAGCTTCCACGATGGGCATCACCATGGCAGTAGTAGAGGTGTTGCTAAGCCACATGGATAGGAGGGCAGTGCTGCTCATGAACCCCAGCGTCAGTCTGCAAGGAGAGAGTGTCACATGGATCTCAGCTCTGTCTCCAGAGGCTCTTAGATAATTGTAAGAGAGAGTAGTTGCTTTGAGTTAGGAGTTAAATTTTTCAAAACATGGAAAGTTAAGGTTCCTCCCAGAGGGTGAATGCTGAGTACAGTCATACATAGGTAGAAATCAAAGTAACACATGTAAGAGTGGAGTTTTCAAGGGATCTATCTCCTAGGGAACTATAAAAATTCTTTCTCTGAAAAACAGAAAAAAATCACTAAACTTACACCAAACTGCAAGTTGGTATGTGCCTAACAGCTTGTAATTTTACACTAATACATGAATACTCTTTTAAGATGACACCTTCAGATACAAGTAAGATGGAATTGCAATCAACTTTTGAATTTAGGGCCCCTTACTTTTTATCTTTTGGGCATATGTCTTTTTATTAGTATGTGTGCCAAGGCAATACAAGAACAAGGAGAGAGATATTTATACAACGTCTCTTTCCTTGTTTACTCTTCTGGTTCAACAATATATGATAGAGAAAATAGTTAAGTCACTTGCTAAAATGAGGTTGCAGAATTTTCTGTAGATTCTGTTACTTAGCTTTCCTGAATTGGCATTCCTTCCTGTTGTCAGGAACAGACTTTATTATATTCTCTTTTAGAGTAGTTGATCCTTAACTATAACATACCTAAGACTTTAGGATTTTAAACCATCACACTTGGGAAAAAACATGATCTCCTTTGAGTAGGAAGCCTTAAAAATTCATTTGGAACCCGTTTATAATGTTCTCTGACTTTCTTTTAAAATAGATTTACAAGAACAATTAGGTTCTATGCTTCTGACTCAGGTATAACGAATGTTTTCTGTGTTTCTATTTATTTTACTTTATCAAAGAAAAAGTGAAAAAAACTTTTAGAAATATACTTAAGTAAGAAATGATTAAAAAACAATGGAAGTACTTTTAATTCATGTATCTATTAGATGTGCAATCCTCCTATTWAAAAAAAAAGGTTGATATGAGGAATAGCTTCTGGTGAAAACACCTTAAATTGAAAAGCCACTTAGTAACATAATGGACAGGACTTTTGTCCTATTGTGCAGTACATTTTACCCAGCTCTGGGGCAATGACCAGAAAAGATACACTTCTATAGTACCTAAGAGGTATGGACCACCATTTCATATATATGTATATGTTATACAATTTTAAGTAACTTTTTCCAAATTGTTTGATATGAGTCATATATGTATATATATATACATATACATTACATATACATATACATATGTATATCCATTGTATTTAGCAAAACAATTTGTTTCATAAATAATAAACACAGATGCATCTATGCCCTTGAAGGAATTATGCAACTGAAGTCAATAAAACTTTCTTATATTCCAAAGAAAGATGAAAAGGAAAAATATCACCTAAGGCTTTCAAGCAAAATATCACTATGCAAATAATTCTGACACTGGAAATTTTCTTTAGTTTACATTCATGTGCTTAACAGGAGATGGAATAAAATCAAAATAGCTAATTCATTTAATAAAAAAAAACAGTCATTTCAGTGAGGCTAAAATCAGTCAAAGGAGTGATTTTGCATTCTATAGATGGATGTTCTTAATTGATTGTTTTACTTTACAATAGTTGATTTTAAAAGAAAAAATGTTCACCTTGGAATTTTTCAGCACACATTTGTATTTTGTCAGTAATGTCTTTGTCTTTCGTTTATAACATCCTCCCTGTTGATAAAAGATGCTCTTGAACAAGTTCTGAATGTGTAATCACAAATAAACAAGATAGGAATAAAATCTCCTCTGAAGTCTATCAATCTTGCCTGTTGAAGTTCAAGGCTTCTCTCATCTTTGACTCCAATGGTGCATTAAGGTGAGAGAGTCGTGTGCATTTATCCCAAGCTCACTGTAATTAGACCTGCAGTGACAGGAGAGTTGTTGTTTTCTTCCCCTCCTACAACTCAAGCACACTTTATATCACTTTTATATTTGTAGAGGAAAAAAAACCCACAAGCGAGACTGGATGTGCATTACTTATTTGGTCATCTGCACGAAATGGTCTGTTCAGAATGTTGAACTGGAAGGAGTAAACACGGTACTTACCGTGCTGGGTTCACACCCACCATCATCACCATCCTCAGAGCAATCCTCTTGTGCAAATTCCATTTTTCTATTGAGGTTGCTAAACAGATGACTCCAATTAGCAGCAGGTGAAAGTCTTTGAAATAAGCAGATGCCACCTGAAATTACAATTAAATTCATGATTATTAATATTGGTGGGGGGAAAAATAACATAGCACAAGAAAGCCATTGTTGGGCTGCTCCTTTGACCTTCAAATAATAGTTTTCTATTTTGTTGAGACATGTCCATGTGTTTGAATACAAATGTAAATATCTTCTACATTCTTACCCATTAATAATTCTGTCAAGAAAAATATACAGAAAGAAAAGCATATGCAAGTGCTTCTATTTATTTCTCCATCTATAATCTGGAGTTAATTTTTTATGTTTATAGTATAGTGACAATGACTAAGACTTGGGAAAGTCCTGAATCAAGCTCCTACCTATAAATCCCTGAATCACCACCAAACTGCAAATATCCTCTTATGTTTGCTTGGTACTGGGGATGCTTTACCACATCCCTAGTCAGGTTTTATTTATTTATTTATTTTTTGGAGATAGTTCCTCACTAAGTTGCTGAGACTGGCCTCTAATTTGGGATCCTCTTGCCTCAGCCTCCCTAGGTGCTGGGATTACAGTCATGTATCCCCATGCCCAGCTCCAAATGTCCTCACCATCACCCACTATGTCATAACTACAGAGTCCTTCCTTCATATTATGAACGATTTGAACTTCAAAATTATTCATTACAAAACAAACACCCTGAAATGAAGGCCAATATTTTAAGATACTCTCAGGTAACATCATTCAGAGTTTAGCAATATCTGCAGACTCTTTGAGCAACCATTTGTGGCAATGCCCCCAAACACGTTAGGTATATGATTTTTTTTTCAAGAATTGTGTTTTTAAAAAATATAGAATTTTAACAAACCACAGTTTTCTTTTCTGTAGATCTTTCAATGAATGGGCTATTATATGACACATAGTTTTTTGAACTTATTTAATTATAATAAATTTATTTTAAAACTTTTAGTTGAAGAAACTCAAGGGGCTGATGTTCAAAAGAACTGATTTCAGGAGATGCTTGGCAGCACTGAAGCACAAAGCTATGCTGAAAGAAGAGGATTGCTAGAGAAAAGAACCCTTAAAAAATTTAATGATGTCTAGTAGAAGAAATGAGAGAGTTCTAATGATAGAAACCACAAAGGAAAATCAATTCTGATGTTAATTTTGCTATTTTTAATTGTATCTGTATAGCTGACTTGGTTTCAACCAAGAGCAAAAATTGCTGATTACTCTTTAGAATTTAAAATAGACAAGTGGACATATTCTTAACATTTTATGGAATGTCAATTTTGATGTTTTTCAAAGTATATATATACTTTGAAAATATATGCATATATATACACACACATATACATATACATTTACATTTTATAGCAACTGGGTAATAGAAAACACATAACTATATTTAACTTTCATATTATTTATTTATTACTTTAACATTAAAAATGTATTTGCCAGGCAACAAAAAAATGTAAAAGCATAGGATACAGAAATAAATGCTAGAAAACAGGGATGGAACTGGAGGAAATTAAGTGAAATAAGTCAGGCACAGCTCAGTGCCTGTAATCCCAGTGAGTAGGGAGGCTGGGGCAGGTGGATCTTGAATTCTGAATTCAAAGCCAGGCTCAGCAACTTAGTGAGGCCCTGTCTCAGAATAAAGATTTAAAAAGGTTGGAGATGAGGCTCAGTGTTTAAGCACTTCTGGGCTCAATCCCTGGTACAAAAATAAATAAATAAAAGAAAAGAAAAAATAAAAGAAAAATTGTCAGGCACAGAAAGACAAAATTCACAAGTGCTCACTCAAGTGGAAATTAAGAATATTGATTTCATAGATGTAGAGAAGAACAGTGGTCACTAGAAGTAGGAAGGCAGTGGAGAGAGGCAAGTTAGTTAACAGGTACTAAGTACAATTAGAGATGGAGAAATATGTTCTATAAGTTTTAATGCTCTATAGCACCACAGGCTACCTATAGTTCACAAGGATTTATTCCATATTTTATAAATAACTAGAAGAAAGGAATTAGAAGTTTCCAAACACAAAGAAATGATAACTATTTAAGCAGATAAAAATGTGAATTATCCTGATTTGGTCATTACACATACATATGTTGAAATATCAGGCAATTCTATAAATACATACAATATTATGTCTATTAAAAACAAGGAAATTTTCCTAAAGGGCTTTTCTCAACTTGCACGTCTTCAAGCTCAAATGTGCCTTTTTAAATATAATCCATTTTCTTTCCAAGCCATGTTTCTTTTCTCCTTAACATATTGCATTATGGAAATACTATTTGCTTACTTGCCCACTACCTGTCTTTCCTATTTTACTATATGTTCCTTGGGGAACAAAACTCTGTTTTGCTAACCATCACATATTGGTCATCTAGCACGGTTCTAGCACAGAATAGGAATTCAGTAAATAATGCTAACAAATTAGGGAGAGAGGGCAGGAAAGAGACGAGGACCAATCTATGGTCTCAGAGAGCCTAGATTCTGATTGTCCATGTCTGTCTCAGGCTTCTATCCACCTAGCCCTCTCTACCCTTTTCTTTCCATAAGTATTTCCATGTATTAATTTACTCTGGTTTCTAGACTTGCTGACCCTATTCTATGACTTGCTAACTTGGCTCATTCTGTCCCTTTGAGCTTTTCTTCTTGGTCTACTTTGAATCAGCTTTCATCTGCCCTTCTCATAAATGCTGCTATTCTACAAGATTCTTTATAGTCTTCGAGTTTTATGTATTTGATTACCAAGCCTTAGATTCAATTCTGTCTCTGACTAAAATAATGTCTTGCATGTGTACAGTAGGCATTCAATTAATATCTGTTAAATGGATTTGAGGATACCACAATCTTTATATCCTGGCAGGTAAGTCTTCTGAGTTCCAAAATGATAAGTCCATCTAGATACTTCCAGTTGAATTTCCCCAAAATATCTAAATACTGAACATATTCAAAGCGATACTTTTTATTTCCTCCCCATCGTTCAAACATGTTCTTTCTCTCCTGCCCCTTCTATAGTGATAACACTTCCATCTGCTCAGTTGCCTAAATCAGAAACTTCAGTGATTCCCTTTTTACGTCCAATATGTATGTATTCGTCACCAGGTTCAATTATTTCTAGGTCCTTCATATCTTTAAAAATTTGTTCAACTTTCTCTAAAAACATATTACTTCATTATTAAGATCCTCATCATTTCTCACCTTACTGTTACATGATCTGTCCTTTTCTAATTCTTCCAAGATACTGTCACTATCACTTTTCTAAAGGAAAAAATCTAAACACATGATTGACCTTTCTATACTTTTTTAGTAAATTACTTGGCTTCTAAAACCAAATCCATTATTTTTTACATGTCCTACAAAAACACCCAAATGTGGTCCCACTTGCTCCTTCCAGCATATTCTCTATTTCACTTGATTTCTTTTATATAGTTCCCCAAACAGAAATGGTTTAATATTAGCTTGTAATTTAACCTGAATGAGCCTTCCCCGAGTCTTAGCTACTCCTAATCTTCCTTTATGGATGAAATCAGATGTCAGTTCTTCCAAGACTCAGCTTCTTTGAGACTCTACATTTGGCTGGATAGTATTCCCTTGGTCATAACACATTTTAATCTATATGGTGATGATTTATTAATTTAACCATTCCTTCATTGGACTACATTAGTTTGAAGGAAGAATGTATGTTTTCTTGATTATTGTATTTATGGACATAGCACATGTCTGGCACATGCTGTCATTAAACAGATGCTTAATTAATACACTTCACAACTTAAGACACATGTTATTATACAGGAAAAGCAAGTTAAGAAACAGAGCAAGGAAATATCATAGGTGCATGAGAGATATCTCTCCAGGGCATGGCTGAGTGTCAGAATAAGTGGAGTAAATAAACACTTTTTCCTAGGGAACTGGAAAGTCTTTTACCAAGGCCTGATACTCAAGATTACTTTTGAAAGACGAAGAGATATTCCTCTGCCTTTATCTCTTTTGAAATTTGCTCATGTAAATAAGCCCCACTGACTGGTATGGTCTGAATATTGCTTAGTATCCCCCACTACCAATTCACATGTTGTAACCCAACGTGAACCTAACCTTGGCTCCATTCTTATAAAAGAAGAGGCTTGAGGGTGCTCCTTGTACCATTCACCACAAGATGATGCAGCAATAAGGCAATGTCTTTGGAGCAGAAAGTGAATTCTTACTGTACACCAAATTTACTGGTACCTTGATCTTGGACTTCCCAGCTTCAACAAATTTTTGTTGTTTAAAATACCTAGTTTAATGTAGTTTGTTTTAGCAGCCTGAATGGACCAATGACACTGACTTTATTTTAGCAATAGTCAGAATTTAATGAAAGAATAAATGCAGAATCACTTTTTTATTTTTAATTTTTTTAGTTGTAGTTGGACAAAATACCTTTATTTTATTTATTTATTTTTATGAGGTGCTGAAGATCGAACCCAGCACCTCGAGTGTGCTAGGCGAGTGCTCCACTTGTTGAGCCTCAACCTTGTTGAGCCACAAGCCAGCCCCTGCAGAATCACTTTTAAAAATACAAAGGAACACTGAGAAGCAAACCACTACTGTAGTCCCTCCATATCTATAGTTTCACTTACTGTAATTTCAGAAAGTATTGTCAACTGTAATAGTAAATGGAAAATTTCAGATATAAATAATTCATAATTTTAAAATTGCACACTATTCTGAGTTGTTTGATGAAATCTCATACTGTCTCACTCTATTTTTCCCAGGATTTAAATCATTAATTTATCCAGTGTATCCATGCCTTATATATTACCTGAATGTTAGTCACTTGGTAGCTTTCTCAGTTACCAGATCAACTGTTATGATGTCACTGTGATTCTATTCCAGTAATCCTTCTGTTACTTAATTATTGCCCCAAAGCATGAGTGTACTGCATACTCCAGGGCATAAAACATGGAAGAACAGTTTAACTTTGGAACTATGTGGCAACAATATAGAGCAAATAAGGAAACACACACACACACACACACACACACACACACACACACACACACACATA